AGCTCAAGCGTGTTCTTAGGGACCATGCCGCCCGCATCATCCAAATGGCTTGGAGAGCCGCTGTTCAATCTCGTCAGCTGGCCGACCGGTACGATCTATTCTTTTTTGGCTCCGTGTCAGCCCTTCTATCTGTCGGATATCAACTTCTTTTTCCTCACCTTTTAGGCCAGTGTTGTTGCAGAAGACGTCCCCTCCACCCTTGGTAAGCGCTTCACACTTGAAATCTACTCCGTAAAGTGCATGTTTACGCTCCGCTTTTCGAAGGAGGGGGATCCCCTAGGTAGTTTTCAAGGCGGGGTGGTGTGCAGTCCTTGGAACCCATTATTAAAGACAGCACCAACATACATAATCACATGCGTACCAAAACTCGTAATTTTCGCACTCGTCTCCGATTGTCAAGACAAGTCAGTCAAGTTTATTAATAGAAATGTAGGCAAACTCCTTTGAACTCCCTCGTCGTAGTCGGGTTGATGAGAAAATGATTCTTGTTCATATTAAGTGCTGGTTATAAATGGCAGCAGCGGCAATTCGGAACTCAACGCTGGCGCTCAAACCCCCAATACGACGGGTGCAGTAATCGGCAATCAGCATGGTAGTCGCAATTTCTACTTACTGCCATCTCGGTGCAGCTATTTTGAATGTGTTAACTGAAACTCATCAACTGCCGACAACAAGCAGTTATTGGCTTATAACTTCCGTTGGGGTGACACGATTCAATACAGCACCTAACCGTCTCACACAGTGTTAATTTTGCTGCCTTTAAATTTATTTCTTACCGTTTGTGCGGGTGTTGTCCGATCTCTAATTTATTGTCTTATTGGGTGTCACTTTAATTTAAAACAATTGCAATATGCGTGTTTTTACACGAAGGTAGCTTACGGGAAACCCACTCCAAAATATAATAGACACATGACATGTTACTGAAAGTGTGCCAGTAGAATTACTATGATGTTTCATCTTTTTCCCGTTCAGAGGTTTTCCTCTCATCTATCGGACTCCGAGGT